TTTTTACTTTTTATTTTACTAGCTTAATATACTAACACTAATATGTATATTATTATAAGATAGTAATAAAAAAAAACCAAAAGGTTTATTATGATAAAAAAAGCGTTAAAAGTGTCAAAAGATTTATGCGTCAAATAGTCGAGAAATATGCGTCAAATAATCAAGAGATACGCGTCAAATAATCGAGAGAAGCAATGTAAATATTTTTATTTTGATTAACTTTGTGCAACTGATTACGTAGTGTTAGTTTATTAAATTATTGATTATGATTATTATCGTTATCGTAAAGCAATGAGCTCCAGACTCCGAATTGTGAGGTTGGAAATCTGAGATTTTCTTGACATAATATATTAATCATAAAGTGAGAATATTACATAATTGTCTATTGTGAACCTTTCAGGATTTTGGATCTTGAACTGTCAGGATTTTGAACCATTCGGAATCTTGAACTATCAGGATCTTGTACCATTCGGGATCTTGAATGTCAGGATTATGGGATGTCGTGATAGACCCGACTGAGACAAATAAACGGATTGTAATAAGGTGCTCTTGGCTTATGAAAGGAAAAAAATTAATTCAAGACTTTTCATTAATATCAAAATACAAAAATCTTGAGGCCTATTAAGAACTGGATTATTCAACAAAATTTGATTATAAATCTCATGGAATGATGATTAAATAGTAAAAGTTCTATCATATTCAGAGCTTTAATAATTCCCAGTTCCAAAAGTTTAATTCAAAGAATCCAATATTGACTTTTATTATATCTATAAAAAGTGTTGACATACCCAGATGTTGGTTTGACCAACTCGGGTTATTAAATGATTTATCCAACTACTTGACGTTAATTTAAGTTTATTGTTATCGTTATGTACATGAATATGTATTTACGATTTACCATTACCCGGATTGGAGCTAGCGCTAGTCACATATTATCTGTGACAGAGCAATCTAATTACAAATGAGTATCTACGTACAGATCAGTATCTAGTAAACTCCAGAAACGAAATTTGCTTAGATAAATACGTATAAGTTGATTCAAGAACACCTGAATTTTCTATTATTTCAATTTAAAGTGGGATTGACTGCTAATTTATCTTAATTACGTGCATACTTTGTAATATTGATACATGTATAAACATGTTCAAATTATCAACAAAAAGTTAGTGATCAAAGAATTCGAAAAAATAAATCTTACTTTACCTTTTAATCATTTTATCATTTTATCATTTGTTTTATTTCATTTTTTAAATTAATTATTTTACTTCTTAGATAATTATTATTATATTTTCAAAAAATATATTAATAGAAGTGCTGTCTGATTCTTAACTTGACATGTTGCAAATGAAAAATAAAATCTTCTTAACAAAAACTTTCTTCCAAATAATATTCACCTCTTTCACTTTTTATTGTATATTAAAGTGACTTTAAATCATATTGTGCCAAACAAAATACTGATAGCTTTATATTGTATTGTGCTAAACAAATTGCTGTTATTAATTTTGGGCTTTAGATAATATTATACCAAACAAATTGCTGTTATTGGATTATTAACTTTAGATTATATTGTGCTGAACAAATTACTATTATTAAAATTATTAATTTTGAATATTAAATATTTTAATTTTTGTTAGTTTATTATTTTGTTATTTTAGTATTTCTCATTCTCATTCATGAGAAGAACAAAGTAAAAGAGTCTTTGTTATTACTACTAATAATTATATTGTCTTAGCTCTAAAAAGCTTTATACAAATACAAAGAATTAGCCTTTCAAACTCCCTTTATTATTATCTCTTTATTATTTTATACTTTTATTCTTCCACAATCCTTTTGTATTATTATTATATCTATAATTTCTGTAGAAATTAGTATAGGGTTTAGATATGTCTCTTTTCTCTTAATATTTTATTTATCAGTTTAATACTTTCTTCCAATCCAGATTCAAGTTTGTAAGCTAATTTAATGATTAGTGAAAAAACTTATAACAATAGTTTTTCATTAATAACTTTTATTTTTATTAAGATACTTCTATTTGTGTTTAAATAGAGTAATTTAGAATATAATTGTGTATATACTTACAAATTTTTGTTTAATTCCAATTAATATTGAACAAGAAATAATATTTTTTAGGCTAATCTGAAATATTTCAGATCAGGTTTGATCCCAATCTGAACTGATCCAAAATGTGCATATCGGATCTGATCACGATTGAACCTGATCCAGTTGGAGCACTATATATAAAGGTAAAGAATTCAATAATATAATATTCAAACTTGAGTTATAGAATTCAACTATTTTGTTCAGTAAAATAAGTATGCAAAGAAGATAGAATTTGATGTCAGTATTGATCTATCACTGAATTATTAATAAATATTCCTTCTAACTTAAAATAAGCAAATCAAATCATTAGAAATTCCTCCCAAGTAAATATATTATTGACATTAAAAATTAAGTATTTATACATCAAATGATGGACTGTTTTTTATTGTGATCAAGAATATAAAATCTGACATAACTACGATTTGAAATGAAATAAAAAAGAAAGCACCCATTGATTAATCTTTTTCCGCGAGTAATCCTTTTTGCTTGCATTTAGGAAAAACTTTGAAAATAGTTTATAGAAATAGTCACTGACATATTATTGGAATTTGACCAATTAGTACTAAAGCATACATTATACGCTCATGAAAAAAATGTTATCACTTGGTTTTCATTTTTGGCTTTAGTTTGTTGTGGGTTTAAAATCTGACTCCGAAAGCTGTGATTTAATGAATTTAAAGAAAAGATCTTAAGTATAAATAATTTTTAGAAATATTGAATACAAAGGAAGTTTGGTCGAATATATACGTATGCGAATTCAAAGAGAGGCAGTATGGATAAGTACATAACATTTATTCTGCTAAATTTTTGAATCTTAACTTACTGTAGATGACATGAGCATCATGATGCCAGCTACGTATACAGATTATTTATGAATTTTTTCATTTGGTAGTTATATCGAACAAAAGAATCGTGCTCAGTAAAAAATTTGAATGTAGTAACACTAGAAATTAAGGAATTGGAAAAATAATAAAAGTATTACATATCACATCCGGTTATGTTAATTAACATCAAAGATATTTTGTAAATGAATTAATTCTGCAACTTGTTCCAATTTAATAATCAGTTTGAATCAGTTTAGCTTGAATACTGAACCAGTAGTAAAACCTAGACTTGTTACAAATAAGATAAGGTCGCTTGCTTAAAATATTATGTACAGGTTTTACAATAACAAGGATATATTAAAATTTCACTAATCAACTTATCAAATCTGGAGATTGATGCTTTGACAAACAATTTTTAAAAAAATTTGTTCAACATTTATTTTTTCGACACTACTAATATTTCTATTGACACTAAGTCTTCTGTTGCCTTTGTTTGCTTAACCTCAAGCAATGAAGGATTCACTAACGATTGAAGTTGTGCTCTCATTGATTTTAATTTTTATGGTGTTGATGATGTTGCCATCACCATTGTTGTTTTTATTGTTGCTTCGATTATTATTTAAAATTTTTTTTTTCAATTAAAAAAAGAAATAAACTTTAAACTTACAGACATTCGTCCACATCTAGATCTTGTGCTATTTTTAACCAATCATTACACTAACAAATAATTATTTGGGGTATAAAAATAAATAACATAACTTTGTAATTTATGCTAAAATATTTCTCTACTTCATTCACGATACTTTGATCGACCGGAAAATCGAATAGACCTTCATCTGAGACAATAAAGCTAAATATGTTCAGTGTTAGAACTTAACATGTCCAATTGAAAATGTGACGCAGTTTTATTATCTAATTGCCACAATAATACGACGCGAACAAATTAATTTTACCTTTTGACAAAGTTTATGATACAATACAATTTCTTCAGGACTACACAACATGCTTTATTCTTTCTCTTGCCGTTCGACCACTTCGATGTACATATATCTATATATTTTATGAAAAGAATAAAATGTTCCACCAATACTACGAGCAGTTGACATCACTAACAATCATGACAGCTTTCGGGTTTTGTTTGAATCTATTGTTTTTTGTGTTATTATTGTTTAATATCTAATCGTTGTCTTTGTTGCAGTCCCAGTATTTCGATTCAAACAATCTAGTAATGGGATTAATCCTCGAATCGTGTTGATAATCTTGACGAATATGTGTTATAAAGTAGTAGATGTAAATATCCTAATTTGATATGAATAAAGATATTTACTGATAAGATGCAAATGAATTTATTTGTCACGATAAGTATGTTTAAACATTATTTGTGAAATTAAAATAAAACCTTTTCTGTGGTTAAGCAATCAATCTTTGATTCATGTAATGTACTAGATACTGGTGTTCCATTAATTCTCTAGAAGAAAACAGAATAATATTATGTATGAATATAATTTGTTTATAACTCATGAAAAGACATCGCACTCACTCATCGTGGACACGCGTTTTATTAACCTCGAATCGCTTTAAAGTGCTTTGAAATAATTCTTTTTCTTCAAGTTCTCTTTTAGATTCTTGTCGTATGTGGCAGAGAATATACGTAAATTTTTGAAGGATCTATCATTATTTATTATTTTATTTATTGGAAGGTTGTTTAAAATGCTTATTAAAAGTCCAAACAGATACTTTTTCTTTCTTATCTAATTTTTTTGTCGATTCCAGTGGGTCCTTTACTTTCGTTATCTGACCAATCATTGGTATTTCTAAGAGTGAGAAGTATTTAAATAACTTCAATGAAAAAAAATACACGCAATGAATTGTGAAAATATAACTTACTGTTAACTTTTTGATAAATAGCTAATTATTCAATTCTTGGAAATGGCCAGACTCGAGCATACTCAAGTACAAAGAATTTTATGCGACAATTATTAATCAAATAAATCGAAATTTCGAATGTGAAAAGATAACGATACGATTTATTTATTAAAGTTACGAAATATAACAATGATTATAATTACCAACCCATCATCGACCAGCAGTAGCAGTAGCAACAATTATATTCGAACGTCTATCCATTAGTCGTCGCTGCTTTGAACTGCCATATCGCTGACAAGTGATCTATTTATATGAAAAATTTAGATATATTTATCCTATATTCAAAACTAGAGAATTAATATTAATTCACTAACCTTGATGTCACCAAACTTTCCAATGCTCAATATATGATATCGCCAATTCGCTAGTTGGAGTAACAACTAACGTCACAAGTTCGTTTGTGCGTGTATTATCAACATCTCTCAACTTTTCTCCGATAAGTTTATTTACTCATTCATTAAATACTGGAAAGTCCGAATGCAAGTGTTTTTTCCCGATCTAGTTTCCGCCGCCCCAATTATCACATTCAGATAATCCATGGGCAAAGTTTTCTTTTGAATAGGCGTGGGCTCGGAGAATTGAAGTGATTTTAAGGTGAATATGATGTTGGGCAGAGTCCAAAATCAATCATGCTGATCGTTAAAATCTATTCAGAACGTACGTATACAGAATGGTGAAAGACATGAACCAATAGACATCTTTTACAAGAACATTTTTTGACGACAGTCTTTGGACTTATTCTGACCTTTCCTTTCACTTTCATTTTCGCTCCCACATCATTCAAAAGTATCAATAGTCTCCCAAATATTACTATATCATCGATACCCATAATTCATTGTCACTTATCGTTATGTCATCTTCAAATGTATCCAAATTGTAATTTCGTATCTCACAATTGATATTGGTTCAGGATTCGCCGCACGAGACTTTGATCAGTTTTTATTAGTTGCTGATTCCTTTTTACTTTCTAGACGACAATAATTTCACAACGAAAATCAATATTCAATATTTTTTTACAAAGACATTAATTAATTTAATTAATTAATTAATTATCTTAATGCTTTAACTTTACAATTCTTCCAAACTTTTTACTTCCCTCACATAAAACATCAACATCATCACACGCCTCTAAACACAACATTCCTTCTAAATCTTCATCTCCAATAACTATTTTTTGCCTCTTTCCAATTCCAGTTATTCATGTCGCCGGATCACTGTTGGCATTCACTTCATCAATATCAACCATCTTATTAGTATGGCATTTTTTTCTTTTTCACATGTCTAACTTTTTTAGAATTGGAATTTTTAAGGGCAGCATAACTGACAAAATTTTGCACCTTCCTTATCTTCAAATAATGCAGTTCGAGATTTTTATTTCCTGTGCATGACGTTTTATCTATCGTCTTGCTTTTTGCTGGTAAAAAACGAAGTATACTCAAATTTCTTCTGTGATTCCATAAATAACGCAACAAATGAAAATGAACACACCCCAAAAAAAGTTTTTTGGTTGCAATTTTATTGTTGCTCGTACGATTTTTTCATCAGATCAATCGATTGATCTATTTACAAACATAAAAGATCAAATTTGTGCTCAAAAAAATAAACCGATAAATTGATAATTGTTTTTATGGTTTAGTTTGCCAAACTTGTCATTCGTCAGACGATTCGTCATCCGCCACTTACATTTCCAAAGCGGCCATGGTGAAAGGTTTCGTGAAAATCAATACATGTACCCCTCTATAGTCACATCCGTTTATAGTCACACCTCTTTATATTCACCCTATTTTACTTTCCCATTTATATATAAACATAGTAAAAAAATCTTTCTATAGTCACATTCCCTCTATAGTCACCCAATTTTGCTTTTCCGAGGGTGGTGATTATGCATTTTTCGCATTCGTTAATTTCCAAAAATGGTCCAGACATCGCGAGTTACGAGCTAATATTTTATTGGTCAGATGGTTTCATCATTCTTCATAGACATTTTCAAAACGGTTGTGACGAAAGGTTTCATCATCGTCAAGGTCTACTCACTCTTAATGTACCTGGCAAAGAAACTGTGGAATAACATCACAAATCAGGAATGTTATAAATTTGTGATGGTTGAAAATGCAATTAGTAAATATTATACATATACAAAAAAAAACACTAGTATTCAGTTATCGATCCAAACAATTCGGATGAAAAGATGTTCTAATATACTGGCTCAAGACAGTTAAAGAAAAAATTGATGATTAAATAAGTTGATAGAAAATGAAGACTGCATTTTCGATTTTAAGTTTAACTTTTTAATGAAATTACTAATTTAATTAATAGACATTATTTCATAGCTAATATTGGGTATACATTTAATTAATGACTCGTAGCAATTTTAATTTTCATTACATTTCTTTGCAAGCCATCGAAATAAAGAAGCAAGTATTTCTCTACAAGATGTACAGTACCCCAAAAAATATCGCCCGATTTAAAATTATATAGGAAAATACATATAAAAAATTTTTGTTGATTTTATAATTTAAAAGTTCTTTCATTTTAAGTTACCACAAGTCTTGTGTTATTTTTTCAAAAATGCAATCAATTAGCTTTAAATTCAGAAATAATTATTATATCCTCAAAAATTTATAATTTTGGACCGGGCAATACTTTTTGGGGGGGGGGGTAATATACACAGCAAACCTCGAAAAACTCAAATAAGTCTAAGGTAAAATTATCTCAGCCCAATAGCATAGTAAATTCTAATAAAATCTTACTCTATAAGTAATAATATAATCTCCCTGAGTTATATCAACTATGGATTAGGTTGACTAAAGAGTTAGATATTAATAAATTTGTAGATTTGGTTTTTAAAGATACAATACTTAAATTCGAAATGAAACCAAATTAAAGATAAACGTGAAAATCTATTTTTTATTTTAATTGTCGAGTGCAGAAGTGTCGCCATTCCTTTTTGAATAGGCATTTGATCCAGCAGCTTTTGATTTATTTGTTATTAGAACTTACACCAAATGAAAAGCTATCATTTGAGGTCGGTTAATATTGCCAGAAGCAGGAGCGCCATCAATGTAAACCAGAGGATCATCTTCAAGCTAACGTCGAATATCGTTATCGACGTATCTTTTACGAGGACTGCTCGCAATTTTTGGAAGTTGCGAAATTGAATCCGTAAAGATTTGAATGCGCCATTATTCTTGGCAAGAGACGCTTCAAAATCTTGATTGACGGAACAGCGAAACAAAAAAATCATTGTTTCTCATGTTGAATATTTTTATGTGAAAATTTTCTCTATTGATATTAAGAAATGTTTGGTAATGAGATACATGTACATGTAATTAAATGATTGTCAAATGCCATATCGATATGCACAGACAAATACAGCTACATTATCGCTATGGTGCACCAAACATTTGCGTTTGTATTTATAAAATGTATTTACCGTTACATGTACATATACTTCTTAACTAAGAATAAATACAATAAATATGCTCAGAAAGGGCCTATTCTATCATATTCACGGATTAAATTTGGTACGTATTTACTTCTTAATAAAAAAAAGTAGATACATTTTATAAAATGCAAACATTAGATGTTATGCACCATATTTTGAATTATTAAAAATCAAGCTATATCCATTAAAGTAATTCGATGCTACAATGCTAAATATTAGAAGAAATTTACTTCAATGGTACATGTATTATTCGAACATTGTTGCATATAATATACATCCATTTATATTTTAAATACTGCAAGATAAAATAAATTGTATTGAGTTTTGCAAAGAATAAACGGAATTTTCGATATCCGAGTAGCAAAAAGAATAAATCCATTTATGTTTTAAATATTGTAATATAAAATAAATTGTATTGAGTTTTGCGAACGAAACTTTCGCTATATGAGTAGCTAAAAAGAAAGGTTATTGACAATTTTGAATTGTGCCATAATCATCTTCATGCCGTGTATTATCAAATTCCTGTTGTCACATCATTGTGATTTTTTGATATTGTTGTCCCGTCATTGTGATCTCTTGATATTGTCAACGATTATCATAGTTTTGGGAGGTACTGTACTCGCAAGCAAATCTAAAGCATAATACACAGTGAAAACTCGATATAGCGGATATTCGATATAACGGAGACTAATGAAAACTCGACATAGCGGATCGAGTCCAGAACGACCCATGATAAATCTTTTTCGATATTACGGATTTCTTAATTAAACTCAAAATTTTCACTTATGGAACGGATGATTCTGTTATATCGAGTTTTACTGTGTATGTTAAAATAATGAGCAGATTTTTTTTCAGGTTCAATTTCTGTACATTTCATTTAATGGTGGTATAGATAGGCACAAAATACTAATGTAATACTTAATGCGTAGAAATTTATTGTTGCAAGTACGTATATGTAATGTGAATATAAATGCGCATTGTAGATTTATAAAAAATAGAAGTTGTGAATGCAACGATATCTATATATACGTATACACGTAAAATCATTATTATCTAACTTTTCAAAACTTAAGTAAAAAAAAATACAGCACATGAAAAATTTTTTAACTCGCTTTTATAAAGTGAATTCAAAGGAAGATCCTAAAATTTCGCATGCTCATGATTGTCGTGAATGTTTCCATTGTCGAAATAATTACTACTGTTATAAGTGTTCAGATCACAATACTCATGATTGTAATAAATGTTATAAGTGCCAAGATAATTTGATTTGCAGAGAGTGTCTTAAATATCACTGTCAACTTCATAAACCTGAATGGTCTAACGAAAACAAAGATGTCGACAATCTAATAAAAGAATGCGCAACGTTTAAGAGAACTTTCGAGTGGATCCCTTTTGAAAAATTTACCAAAGTTGAATATCTTGCAAAAGGAGGATTTGGAACAATTCATAGAGCATTGTTGCACGATTACAGGTGGGATCATAAGAAAAATCAATTGGAAGTATCTAAAGTGCACGAAGTTGTGTTGAAATCATTACATGATTCAAAGCAAATTACATCTGAATTTATAAACGAGGTAAAAATGAACCACTTATAAAGTGTAATCAAGATAATTTTTCGTTTTCAAATATAATCAAGCTTTTCAAAGTAGGTTCAGACTGCTCTTAAGTGCACTATGCACCTTTTGACGTATTATGGAATAACCAAAAACCCAGCTACAAATGAATATTCAATAGTGATGACTTATGCGAAAGATGGTGATCTTCGAAAATATATTAATCTTAACTACAAAAAATTGAATTGGGAAGAAAAACTGACTTATTTTAGGGATATTATCTTCGGGTTGATTGCAATCCACAATAAGGAATTTATCCATCGTGACTTTCATCCTGGAAATATATTAATAGTGAATGCGGATTATAGTCAAGCTGGTGTTGCTGATTTTGGACTTACTGGATCAGAGTATATTGATATAAAAAAATCTAATAGGAAAATATCCGGAGTACTTCCTTATATTAGTCCAGAGGTGTTAAATGGAAAGACATACACTAAAGCTGCAGATATTTATAGTTTTGGGATGATTATGTACGAGATTGTGACAGGCAAACGACCATTCGGTGAACGAAGTCACGATACAAGTCTCGCAATAGACATTTATAAAGGAGTACGACCTAAAATACCAAATGATGTTCCCAGGTGGTGCAAATTTATTATTGAAAAATGTTGGGATCCTATTCCAGAAAACAGACCAACTGCTGAGGAAATTTATTATTTTATCCACTCCATCTGCTATCCATCAGATAACAACAAACCGAATACTCTGCATTTTCAGCACTACAGCTCTAAAACAAATGAAGAAATTAAAGAGTGTCTTAAATTAGAAAAT